TTATTTGGACTCAGAGTACCTCGAAACGTTTATTTCCGTTGAAAAGTCAGATTCGAAAATTTTCACGATCACAACAGAACTTTCCTTTACTATATATTACATATATAGGTAAGTGAAAGTAATACTTAAATAATCAACATAAATTACTTCACACCAACCAGAAATACGTTGACTGATAGAAATTATATTTATATTTTTTATAGGTAATAAACCTACCATATAAAACAATGGTCAACTTCATAACCTAACGCTAATCCCATCAATGTATTCCATCGTTCGCTTGAATCAAGCAGCAATAGACAGTAATTAATGAGTTTAGAAACAACTTGTCAGATCCCTCCGAAAGATTAACAGTTCTGGAAGGTTACAAAACATGAAAAATATAAAATAAAAAAACTATATATTGAATAGATATCTAACAGAAATAAATTCATATCGAGAATAAATTGGATATAATTATATAAAATAAGTTGATAAACACTGCGGTTATAATGAGATTGTTCCTAGTGGATCCATCGACCCAAAAAGCCGATGCAACGGCTGAGCCAACAGTGATTTAGTCAATGAATAAAGGGACACGCTGAATTCCAACGATTAGGTAGGAACGATCTGATAGACAGAAATCGATAGAATGTTTATTTTTAAATAAAGTTAAATAATATAAACCTCAGAAACACAGTATTAGCAATAAATACTGATCTCCTTTGTTATTCTCTTTTCTTTTTTCTTTTTAAGATGTACGAAATGGAATCAACGGCCTAATTGATTTCTGATGCCATCGATGAGATCAAGGTTAAACTCAATGGAACAACAATTTTGGGATCTAAAAATGCTTTTTCTTGAGATTGATAACAATTCTTTAAAAAATACATAATCAGATTTAAATATCAACAAACCACAGCCACTAACAGTTCATCCTAAGAAAATTCAAAACGAGATTTCTTAGATCTCCTATTAGATTTCCGTCTAAAAATCGTTAAATTTAATTAATTAAGTTAATTAATCAATGAATAATATTGAATAGTAAAATATATTAAATGATATAATTAATGAAGTAAAAAAAAACATCTAATGGAGAAGGAACCACAAAGCAGAGCATCATAAACCACATAGCCCTGATATCATACGATAGGGATATCTCACATCCAACTCATTTTTAGCTTTAGTCAATGGTTTTCAACGCTCGTGTGTGACACATTTAGGACCATAGCAATGTATCCCACTGATTGGGTGAGATTTTGATCAACAATGGCCTTAACATTGCTCGTTTCAATTTCATGTAGGCGACCAAACCGATGAGCATCATTGATGTCAAAATTTTCTGAATGAAATTTGGCAAACTTTTGACAGGTGCGTTCGGTTAAGGTATCATCCCCATGAATACTGCAAATTTGTCTATGAGCTTCTGCAGCACGCTTACCTTTTTTAAAATAATACAACAATATATGCCGATGATGAATGATATTTTCTTCCATATTCAGAGCAATAGCAAATACAATACTAAGCTAGTATCAACAAGAGTTAACATATATAGTTCTTGACATATTACAAACAGGATAAACAATCCACCTTGAGGATTAATTCATCAGATAAGAAGTGAATCATAATGATATAAGAATAAACAGAAAACTCGAAAAGACTTATTTGCCAACCCAATACATTTAGGTTCCATACTGATATGTGAATCAATAAGCTACAAATAGATACTAAAACATAATAATGCTAAAATAGCTATATTATTTGGTGTAATTTTTTATTATAAACCTACAAATTACTTTGTTTAATTACATATATTGTTGCTAGGGAGAACAGTGTTACAATACGAAACTACAGAAGAAGCATTTAAAGTTTGCATACTTCGTTTAACCCTTGTACCTGACTCATTTTAAAAATCATATCCGCCATTTTCTTAATCAATAACGTTATCTTTTTTTGTTTGAAACCAAACAATCTTTTTTTTTTAAATTCAATATTTGATAACAATTTATCATTAAATTGTAGAAACATTTTATTCAAATAAAATAAAATAAGTTGTTATTCCACTAAACATCAAAATTAAAAATCTGAAAAGACTTCCAAGCACACCAAAAATATAGATATTTTCTTATTTTGAAACTTTTCCACGCGAACGATATATCTATTTATGTTTTTGTTGTTGTTGTTGTTTTTTTTTAATCTCATTATGTAATTCATTTGTCTTTTCTACTTTGAAAAAAAAGTATAAATTACAATATATCTCATTTCCTAAATTTATTGATGCTGTCATGTAAAGCAATGACCCGTCAATTCCTGAGAAGAGATAAGCTGTGGTAAATCAATTCCTCTGACCCAAAACCACGATAACAATATCCAAGATTGTGACAATTATAATTGATAACAATATCGTAACACTGAAAAATAAATAAATAAATGAAGGGCAAATTAGTGCGTAAGATTATTATTTAAACAATAAATAAAAAAAACGGTGCATAAGAGGAAGTTTATATGATATAATGAACAACAAATGTTTTCTAGGTATAAAATGCGGATACCCGACATGATAGCAGATTCGCCGAACATTGAACCGATAAGAAATCTGGTAAACGCTAACCACACATTTTTTTCCCTGATAAAAGTCACACTCGAACTAATCCTTTTAACCGTTGCGAAACTTGATGTAAAAATTAATAACAAAAAAAAAAGTTGAAACATTTTTTTTTATTTACTTTTAAACTCAAATGATCGGTACTAAATGAATTTTTCCATTTGTTTTTTTTTTCCGATAAAAATGTATTTTAAAAAAAATTGAATTCTGTTTAAAAAAGCGATATCTAAATATTTTAAACATTCTAATATATTTTTTTTTATAATTTTAATATTCTTTCTTTTATAAAATGGTTCCAAATTTATTCACCGAATGTCATTCAGTAGTCTCAGCAAAAAATAAAAATTCGACAATACATCACAACTAATTATTTTAAGAAAGAACAGAGATTTTTTTTTTTTAAATAACTAGTCATATTATCAAAATTTCTTATTTTTTGTTGTTATTACAAAACATATAAGTATCAACAGTTTTCTTTTCTTTTTTTTTAAAAGAAAAAATAGTAATTATGAATTGGTATGGGGGAGAAAACAGGCAACTAAGACATTCTCGTTTATGTCATGTGTATTGCCGTAGTCAAATTTTGAAAGAAAAAGGAAATAAATAATTATTATCATATTTTATAAATATTTAAGGACACATCAACAATAAAAAAACAAGGGCGGAACCACACTACTAGTAAGAAACAAAAAAAAATTAATTACGTGCCATTAGAGTTTTGTAAGTGCATTATCTTTTTTGCAGAACCATAAATTTGCTAGACGTATGCCCATATTAGTTTAAGTATGTATGTGTATATATTTAGTTCCTAATTAATTTTCAGTTTTGATGATTTGTAAAAAAAAAAAAAAAAATTGTATGATTAATTTTTGAAAATTGTATAAAATTACTTTTTTAATTATAAATATTGGGTGTGTGTATCAGTTTCCGCCGTTCGTTATCTAGAAAACTTATTCACACACACTACACATAAAAATTAAATAATTATAATTTTTTTTTAACGCCTCTTGACTCTTTTGACTCTCGCCATTAGTCTTCTCGCATCATTCTAGGGCTGTTCTAGGCAATAAGCTATAATCGTTTGGTTCTCTTCTTATGTAGATGATATCCAGAGAGCACGTGGTTTATAATAACCGGACACGATCACAACCATACCCTCTTCATCAGGATGGTTGGCAACATTCTGCATAACGTATCTATCCTGATGTTGTTTTTTACGGGATAGGGTTATTAGTCCAGTGCCCAACCCACAAACTATGGAGGATCAAAGGAGCTATATTAATAGACACAGAGGTCGCTCTCATTAAGTTTTTAAGTAATTGTAATATTATAAATAATTTTATTAATAATTAAAATCCATAAAATCATTATTAACTATCGTACTAAAAAGTTATAAATAAATCACAAAGAATAAAAAACCCATCAGGATATTTTATTCTAATTATATTCGTTAATTATTGTTATTTGTTTTCAAAAATGCATTTCGTTTCTTGTATCACGTTAATTTAAGGAACAACAGTCCGAATTAAAAAAATAATTTTACATTAGATGGACCCTTCATTGAAAAAGCGTTTAGGCTTCTTAAGATAGCAACACAACTCATGAGAACGGAACAGTGGCTATAAATTTAGACCAATCAGGAAAACCTGAAATATTGTAGATAATTGTACGGTTGCACAGCTAGTTAAATACAAAAAAATATGATTTTCGCTATTCATTAATAAAGCAAGTTCCTTTTTGCTAACTTTATTATATGTCAAGGAGGAACCAGGTTTCTAGCTGTGGCAGTTAATTACTTCTTCTGTTACATCATGCGTGGATCGTCCCCGAGATCAGAAGATCCTCCTGGGCCTCACCCAGCCTCTATAAAGTGCGTGCTCTGAGTCAAATGATTAATTAAGAGGATAGATCTGGCCCATTCACTTCCCTGCACAACCTTTTAAACAGTACTTCCTTTTAAATTACTGAACTCAATACTAAAAAGACATGATTTGTAGTGGTACGTATTTTTTTCATCATATGTCATAATAATCAATAGGTCAACAGTGAGTGCGAAATATCTAACTACGTTGAATTGTCACGATAACGAAAAATAAATAAATATCATAATGTTATAACACATCATATTAATAATTACTGATAAATTTGACAAATATACGTTTGAGAAAAGCCGCTTATCAAAACAATAAACCATATAAATCAAGAATAATGAAACGCATAATAATTTCTGGCTGTCAAACGCAGTTTTTTTTATATTTTTTTTTATTCTCTTTCGCAACATGATAAATTATCAAACTCGGCCAGTTGAAGGACAATTTCTGAGATTAAAACGAAAACTACGTCTTTAAATAACAAATAAGATAATCATAAAAATTGTATTATAAGGTTTTTCCTTATCTCGTTCGCTTATTCTTTTTCAGAGTGAATCATTAGAATCACCACTGTTCCCGTAGAGTGATAGTCTATCTCGGACAAATAAAGAGGAACCGATAGTGTCGAGTGGCCTCAAGGCTAAGCGATAACTACGGCACGATATCTGGCCTCTTAGGGCTGACGGTCTGCCCCACGTGGGCACCCGGATCACCGATAACAGTTTCGTAACAGGAGTAAGGCACGGCATCAGGGGGGAAAGTAGTCCATCGTCGGGGATTGGAAGAACTCTTTTCCAATAAGCCGACTCTAACGAATCTATTAACATAGCTTTATAAAGATATAAAAATCCTTAATAGTTCCACGACGCTTCAACTATATATGTACGAATGACTTCTGTAGTGGAAGCCACCAAGGACATAGTGATGTTATCTTTTACAGTAGCATCTAACCCACCGGAAGATAAGAAATCAGCTAGGTTTCCTAGTTGCAGTAACATAAACACCTGACATATAAAATAAATGTATGATCAAAAACTAAAATAACAATTCAAATCAAGTAGCACTTCTTCCGTGACTTGATTCAATTATTTTGGTTGTTCGGTTGAACCAGATATCACATCCAGCACCTTTTTAGTCCACTCCTCATGTTCAGGAGTACGTCGACTGCTGCCATACTCTCATTAAACTGTAGTGACGTTCGTTTAAATTTCAGTAAAATTGTTGGTAAATGGTCGTTATTAGTGTTGTCCAAAATCGGTCTTGGTCTTGTACTTTGCAAGACTAAGACCAGCACCGCCTGATTGTTCCAAGACCACCAACGGTCACAAAAAATAAAGAAAGAAAAATGCATTTTTGTGAATAAAAATTAAGGCAAAAGCATATATAGTTACTAACACTAGACAATCTTAGATACTATATGTAAGTCATTTTATTTTTATTTATTATTTTTTTTATATCTCAGTATTTTATTGTGTATTGCTGTGTTTATCGTCATTATATACATATATATATATATGTGTGTGTGTGTGTGTGTGTGCTTACAATTTCCTAGGTATTTTTTGTATATATTTGTATAATCTTACATGCCAGACTAAGGTACATATTTTGTAAACTCTATTATTATTCTAAGGGGACTTCAGTCCCAGAATAAAATTATTTTTCATTTTATTTCATATATGTAAAGATTTAGTAGAACCCATCTACTTCTGAATTCAAATCTCCCAATTTTTCATTGGGGTTTTAGTTAGGTTACCCATTATGAAAAAGTAACACCTCTATAGTATGTAGTGGTAGCATTTTTTAAAAGGTTATTAAATTTTTGACCGAAATTATTAAAAAATCGTCAAAATTGGACCAATTTTAGCACCGTCACAGTTTATTAATTTTATACTTGATTTTAATAATTGTCTACATTGCTTTAATTCATCAATGAAATTCTACTTTAATGATTTCCCAGATCAGTTATCCGGAAAATTAGTCTAATTCAATTGTGTTACTTATAATAAACATATTTAAAATTGAAAAAAAAAACAAAATTAAAATTGGTAGAAAAGTCAGGTGAGTGAACACACATTTATTTGAATAATTGATGACATTGTATAGATTTTCTTTACTCTACAACTTTTCTATTCCAAGTTGGGGGCCTATCATTATCTTTCTTGGCAATGCCTTTATGTATTGTCATGTTAATTTATAAATTGGGTTCGACTTTACTATGTTCATGTCAATAAATCATTTAAATTTACCTGTTCTGTAGTGTTTTTCTAAGACCTAGAGTAAGATATTTAATAAATAGCAATAAGCTAATAGGTAACTGCAGGATTCTGGAGCAAGACCAAGACTCTTCTTGGTCTTGCTCAAGAATCTTACATATCTTATAAAGAATCTTACATCAAGAAAATGTAAGACTCGTGTTGGTCTTACATTTCGATAACACTAGTCGTTATATATTGGTCAACTTTTGACAGGTGAACATCAGTGCTTTAGTTATGTGTTGTAATAATTTTGATTTGAGCACAGTAGTCAGAGTCGTTTAAGAGATTTAATTTTTACATACGGGCCCCATGAGGTAAGTCCCTTGGATGGGTGACACTCCCGTTTAACTTGTAATGAAACTAGAGATTCCTTATCCAACACGATAACTTGGCTAGCTTCGATTCATAACGAATCATCAACCATACTGACCTCTTGTTTAATGACCATTAATTTGAATTTTTAATTTGTCATATCACAAGTGAATTAAATCTATATTAATTCAGTGTCCCATAAGGATTAACTTCGAGCTAAAAATTATATGTATTGATTATTGAAAACTAATATATTGATTTTGAAGATTAAGAAAGAGAAATGATTAAAGTAGTTTACATTATTAATGAACCGCGCTTAATTTTAATATTCTTTCATGCCATTTTAACATGCGGGCCCCATTTCACCGTTTTATCTAAGTCCAACATAGTAAATCGTGCCCGTCTGACGAATTTGCTTTATTGTTAAAAAATCTATATAAGCTGGAGAAATTTCCTTCATAGAAAGCAGACATTTCTCCGCAAAGTAAATATATGTAGTTTTTTTCTATACATCATGATAATGAGCGTAGTCAAAGTTTTTGATGGTTTGTTACTGTTGAGTAGATGATGTTGCAAAGGTAATGAGGCTACTGGCCTGTATCAGATCTCCGTGTTTTGTAATAATTGATTACAGTCAGCGAAAATAGAAGTCAATATTTCATCGTTGAAAGGTACATTGTTGGTCTATGCAGTTTGTAATAATGAGTTTATGTGAGTGAAGCATAGGGTATTGGAATTACTTATGATTAAAGAAATCTAAGAACCCTTGGCTTAGTATCTCATTTTGGGCCAAAATGAAATACTCAAAAACACAAAGAAAGAACTCAAAGATTCCAATCAAAAACATTACAACTCATAAAAAAACGACAAAAGAACGTCACTATCACAAAACTAAATACCAACATTTGAGAAGCATATCAAAGGTCTTTACTAACGATTTAATACTAATTAAAATGAACCTAATACGAGACTGCAGGTGGCATATCTATGAATTTAAGATTGGAAATGAAAAGGCTCTGGGTAAGTGATATCCTTCCTTAACTAACCACAGTTACTGTAATAAGTCAGATAAGGGGTACTGCTTAGTAATATTATCCTCATTGTGCGATGTGTTATTATTTTCATCATATTATCTGTGTGACAATCATAGTCTAAAGGTGCATTTTGAAATGAGCACATTTAAAAAAAATACATGTAAATATATATATGAATACACTTTTTGAAAAATACAGACATATGAGAATGAATAGATTTTTAATTTTATTAGTAAGCATTAGCATAGTCAATGATGTACCGGCAATGTTTAAGATGATGGAATAACCACCGCTATCATCCTAACAGACACCAACAAGAAGATGAAGGAGTACAAACCCAAGCCTTCAGATTTGAGAGGGGGGGTTGGGTGCATTGGCCTTGCACTATCAAGCGCAGTATCCTCGAGTCCTTCGGTCGCTCCCTGATGCACCGGAGTGCAAGGCTCCCGTATATTTTCTTTTCGCCTTCAGATTATCATAATAATCAGAAAAATAAAAATTTGATGCATCCCACAAATTTCACTCATACCATACAATCAGGAGAAATTATTTGTTTAGAAGTTATTAGAGCCTATGTATATTCTTATTGGAGCTTATATTATATATTACCTTAATTTTAATTGAGAACTAAGACAATTAATGTAAATGATAAGAATTCCGTGATGTTGGTTTATCGAACAGGAAAAAAAGTTTTCCATGGAAGTTCTTTTTAATTTCTATGGAACAGGTTATTTGGTCGACCATTCAGTAATATAAAACTGGGCATTCTTAAATACAACAATAAAAAATCATGTGCTTTTCGCCACTCTCCATTAACTTTTACTACCTTATTTGATAGATATTTGTAATTCTATCAATATGCTTTCCAAATCTATAGCATATATCTATGTTGCTACTCTTATTTCCGGAGATTTGTTTTTAACTTGCGAAAATATTCCTCCAATTTTCTCCTTATCAAATTCTTTCATAGATCATATTTATCAATTTTGGATTACTACTAATCATAATCGTAATGGATCTTAAAATATTTCTAATCAACAAAATTAAAAGTCAACGGTTAACTTTGAAAAATCATTTAATCCCTGTTAAACTATTTCAATGAGCTTAATACCTATATGATATAATGATAATTTAACTTTACATGAAAAAGACAACATTAATCAGAATTATCAGACCCGTTTTCGAAAAAGTTGTAAAAATGTATAAAATTAATAATATCATTTTACCAGGTATCATTTTTGATTAATCGTTCTTTGAGGAAAGAATTGTTGTACCGTCCTAGATACACTTTTAGTTTCAATCACAATGAGAGACTTATCGTATTTCATATTTAGTAATTTTGTATTAATATTATAATGTGAAACCTTTGCTTTATTTATTTTTAATAAACAAAATTAAAAGTACTTTAGATCGAAAAACATTAAAAAATTCTCATTTAAGCCGAGTCGGTCTATTTCAATTAGGTCAAAACCTACATTTAATAGAACATCAATAAGACGAGTTTCATCAAAATTGCTAGAGCCGTTTTCGAACTGCATAAAATCGATGATATAAAGTACCATTTTCAATTAGTGAATTTTGACAAAAATGTCGTAACATTTCAGACGTATACTTAAGTTATATACGCAATTTCAGTCCGTACAACTTTTCATTTTTTATCTTGACTGTTCACATACACACAGACCTTTTTAGCGGTACTTGGTAGTTTGTACTTAGGATACGGACCTTGAAATATGGATTTCCGTTGAAAGCTCTTATTCGAAATTTTTAACAATATCAATATTTCCCCATATTATATATTTCAGATATAAGTGGAAGTTATAATACTTATTTCAAATAAAAAATATAAAGTACATCCATAAGAAAGATAAGCATAATAGTAGCTAGGCTAAATGGTCTTCATTAAGAAGTTAACTGAACCCTGAAAAAAATACTAAGTAGCATACATTTAAATAAAATAAACATACAACATAAAAGTTAATAAATATATACAGAGCCTTCTTCTTCATGGAACTACCCTATAAGATTAAGAATTTATGATAAAGATATATGTTATATATACAGTATTCGACAAATTATTGAGATTTTTTTTACTTTCATTTACCTCTACATGTAATATATAGTAAGGGAAAGTATTGCGATCGAGAAAATTTTCTAATCTTAATTTCCAACGGAAATACACGTTTTGAAGTATCCTGAGTCCAAATAACCAAGTCCCGCAAAATGATCTGTGTGTGTGTAAATTCCATAAACTCTTAAATAACTAATACAATATCAACAAAGAAGTATACTTTTTGGGTTATTCAGAATCTAATTTTACCATCCCTCGTAACTTTTTTCCATTTTTTTTTTCGTTGAAGTATATTATATAGATAAAGGGCATCGAGAAGAAGACTT